TTCCCAGTGGGGTGTTGGTAATATTAATCAAGTACTAGAAGTAGCTTCTATTTTTTTTCATAATGACAAAATTTGGATGATTGTACTGCAGTAACATCTTTATTGGCTTCAAAAAGCTGGTCTCTAACATTTTTCCCTATTCTAAGAGCTACATTCCCTCAAAAGGGGGTAGGAAGTTTATATGTAGGATAGGCAAGTTTGGTCCATTATACCTAGGTGTGTGATGGAAAAAATAAAGTTTGGCAAGGTGGGATTTTTAAAGGCTTTCTAGTCTTTTAATTGCCCACCAATGCAAACGATGATAACAAAACAAGTAGTTGATATGTTTTAAGATCAAGTCCTTTTTTCCACCTTCTCAATTCAGTTACCTCCTTCCCAGAGCTGAGAAGTCAACTAGCCTAAGGCAGAGCTAGAAAACAGCTCCCAGTTTCTAGCCAGTGTCTTAACCCCTAAACCAGTGGTTGTCAACCTGTGGGTCGGGACCCCATTGGGGTCGAACGACCATTTCACGGGGGTCGCCAAACAACGCAGTCCGCCATTTTTTCCCCCTTTTACTTAGCTGTGCTACTCCCTTTTATTCTATTGGCTTTTGAAAGCCAATAGAATAGACTCTCTTGAATAGAGTCTAATTCTATTGGCTTTCAAAAGCCAATAGGAATTGTCCAGGCTGTCTCTGCCCTGCTGAGCCCGCCAAAAGTTCCATTCTGCAAACGGTGCTGCAGCAGTTGAGTAGTCCTCGACTTACGACCGGTTGAGTAGTCCTCGACTTACGACCACTTGGGGGTCGTGGCATTAAAAAGGTTGAGAACCACTGCCCTAAACCAGTGTTTCCCAATCTTGACAATTTTAAGGTATGTGACTTCAACTCCCAGAATTCCACAGCCAGCTTTGCTGTGGAATTCTGGGAGTTAAAGTCCACATGCCTTAAAATTGTCAAGATTGGGAAACACTGCCGTAAACTAAAACAGCTCTACTTGCATACTACTGTTTTATAAATCCATTTCTGATCTGTAAGCTTTTGAAAGTTTCCCTCAACTATTACTTGTTAAGAGTTTGAATATGTTGTTGTTTCTACTTTTAATGAAAAAGAACAGAAAAGGAAGGGAAAAGGTTATCTCACTGTCTTTCTCTGTTACCTTTTTATATACATATAAAGCTACACTGGTTGTTCATAAATCTTTTGTAACATTCATTCTTCATTAATTGGGACTATCAATTTATCTTTTCAGTGTTAGAGTCAAGTCTCTTAGTGACAAGTAGAGCAAGGTGAAAGTTTTTATTTCTACTATTTTATTCAGTTCAGACTTAGCTGCTTCTCCACTTTTCATAACTATTCCAGCAATGTAGAGATTATTATTGCCTTGAATACAAATTGTAATCTTTGATAGGATGTCTAGAAATGAACACCAGAGTGGGATCTGTAGCCAAATCTGCCACAAAGGATAGACAGGTCTAATATCTCTTTCAGTCTTCAAGAAGTTGATTGTTTGTCAGAGAGCCTCTATCCTATTCTAATACTTAAATTACCTTTCCCCAACGTATTCTCTATCCATCAATATTTTGGGAAATGAGCTTTTACAGAGGAAAAAGTTTATGGAGTCCTATATAAAGGATTCCTCTGAATGCATCTTTAGTGGATCAATGACTGTCAATTCTTGTGAGTGCACTTGATGTTTCTTTTGTTTTCTTGAACTTGTTCACTTGACTTCTGACATGTAGAAATGTGATTTTAATTGCTCCAGGAAGAACGTCACATTATATACTAAAGACCTGATTTATATATGATGCTATACAGTTTGTCTGGCCATATGCCAGAAAGTTAAACAGGAGAAGGCTCTTATTTGGGAGTGTGAAAAGAAATCTTTCTCTAAGAACATACTAAGGTGGAATATTCCAGCAATTAATGCCATGTATACTCTTTACTCATCTTTTAATTTGCCCAGCTCTAGATAGCTGTTCTAGTTTATTGTGGCTGAACTCAAAAAGCTAAACAAGGTTGGATTTTGACAGATGGGAAAGCAGGAAATGCCACTTCTGTAGGCCAGTTTGTACTAGATGGTTGTAGTTTAAGACGTTGGACCAGATTCAGTTCTATCCTGAACATTCTCTAAACAATTTTATGTCAATCACTCTCTTGTATTCTAACCTACCTCAAAACGTGCAGGAATAAAATGAAAGGATATTCTTTATAAACTGTCTCCTGGGAAAAGGGCAGGATATGAATCTAGCAAATAAATGCATAAATAATAAAAACAATTCCAGAAGAAGACAGTGGCAAAATACATCTGCACCGACTATATTCAAGAAGTCACCAGGAGTAAAAAAAAGAAGTTACATGTTTTGATTCTGAGCCCCAGTTTCAAAAATGCTACTGTTGAAAGAAAAATCTTCATCAGGGCCCAATCCAAGCCGCGAATAAACAAAATGGAGACTGCTTTAGAAAGAAGGTTATAGTTTATTGAAGAGCAGAGCCAGACAGAAATATAGCTCTGGGAAAGCTGACCACATGTTGCTCGGAGTGGTGGGTTTTTTATACCTTCTTGGGCTTTTGTGTTTGGAGTTATTCTTCCTGTTCCTGTGGTATGAACTTTGACCTGAGGTTCAGTGCAACTTTCTGGTAATCTAATGGTGGTGGGTTAATCCTGTTACGTCCCAAAGGTCATATCCTGCTCAGTGGGGCTGATGACTATGTCCTGTGTTGGATTTTTTGGGTGAGGGGTTGTTGATTCTAGGGATCTTTTGTCTTTTTAATCCTATCAGCTCTAAGCTTCCTGGATCCAATCTTTCTGAAAGGATTATCACATCTGCATTTCTACAGACCTGGCCTCTGCTTGGGGCAGAGAGACTTGGGGTGGTGGTGGTTTCTGCCTAAGATTTTCCATTATTCCTTTGGAGAAATATATTCTGCCTTTTTAATATTCCCCAAAATATTTCTTCTGAATATTCTGACTGACTTCCCACACTAACTTTCCTAAACAGTCTTTTAAACTTTTAAAAGGAAGTATAAACTGCTTTTCAAATAAACAAATCCATTATTTAAATAATGTTCATCCCTCACCATTAAAATACAGTAGCAAACATGTTTCATTGTACCTCTGCAGTATTCGTTCCTTTTAGCGTCTGAGCATAATGTCCAAGATGCAGATGGTCCTTGATCATTGCCAAGGTAAAGTAGGAAGTTTGTTTATTTGTTTATTTACTCTCCTTCTTTACCAGCCATTCTTAAAGGCTCTATGTGGCTAACTAAACAATTTAACAAACACATCTTTCCAAATGCATGCAAAGGCAATCTATATAAATAAGTCACAAATGATGCATATTGTAAAGCAGCTTTCTACTGGGACAACTAAAAGAGAAAATTTTTTACAAGTTTCTGGAAATACAGGAGAGATGAAATAGGCCAGAGTTCAGCAATGGATAAAGCTTGCCTCTGAGGCCCCGTCAGGTGGTACCTGTATTTGACTCTGTAAGATCTAGTTGGAAGGAGGAATGCCAGAAAAAGCAACTTCTCAAATAACCAGGACTGAAGCCATGACGACCAGCACCTTGAATCTCACTGGGAAGTCTATTGGTAACAAGTGGAGCTCCAAAAATATTGGAGTCATCTAATCATATTGGTGCATACCTGTCACTGCCTGGGCCACCACATTTTCTACCAGCTGCATATAGAAGAGAAATAAAAATGGAAGGAGCATAGGTAGCAAGCAAGAAGAAAGACAAAAAGGAGACTGCTGAATAGGCAATGAGACAGAGAAGAGAGATGCTCTATATCAGGGGTAGGCAACCTTGGTTCTTTTATGACTCGTGGACTTCAACTCCCAGAATTCCTGAGCCAGCCATGCTGGCTGAGGAATTCTGGGGGTTGAAGTCCACGAGTCATAAAAGAGCCAAGGTTGCCTACCCCTGCTCTATATGAATTGGGTATTGAGGCTGTAGCAGGTCTAACCCAAGCCCTGGCCCAGAAAATACTAGATGCAAAACCTGGAGAAGGTTGAGATCATTTAATATTGCCCCCTTTGGTTACTCATGGCTAAATTTAGGAGTTAGTCCCAAGGATAAATGTGAATGAAATAATAACATTGCTCTGCCCATGTGCCATTTCCCTTACGAGATCAGTTCCTTCTTACTGATTTTCTTGGCAGTCTATTCCCCATTTAACTTTGTTCTAAATAAAACATTTCCTATTTTGTGCTTATGTACTTAATACACAGGCATCACTCATAATCTATGCACAAAGGAGAGATTTCAGGAATGCGAAGCTGGATAATTCTCCAGAGAAGGAAGCCCTTACTGATAACAACCACCAGTAGCAAATTGGCCTCTATAAACATAACCACAAGTGAAGCTTGTTTCAAAGATGGAATTAATATTTTGTCTTACTCTTGCCCATCTCGCTTTCATGTAGGAAATGTGTGAATGTTTTTAGTAGGCTTGGGTGAGTCTACCTTAACAAAGAATCTCATATGGCGAATGCCACTCTTTATCAAGGCAAAGAGTTATAAAGCCTCAGCTTGATTTTCCCCAAAGTTATTCTTGAGATGTTGTCTATCCATTTAAGAATCCATGATACGCATGTTTGGTATAAGTGTTTCATTATTTATTTGCATCCATGAACTCGTACGGCTTTGCATATCCTTTCGAAATCACATCCAAGGAATGGAAGCCTATTTCATTTGTCAGGGTTTTTTTTTTCAATTATACTATGTAAAAACTTAATTTATAGCTGGTTTTTTATATTGTATTAGAATTATAACTTTTAAATATCTTATCTAGCCCTGGGCCAGATAACAATGTGAAATTGGGTAAACACAGAAATCTGATAGAATCTTGATATTCTTAGTTTGATTACTAATTTTGCTTTTTTGTGTGTCAGATTCCTGAAACATACAATACTTCCTGGTCATGCCTTTCCTATCTTTTCATTAAACTTCTGTTTGCTGTTGACACGGATTATTTTGATCCACAAGAGTAATTTTCTTATTGGACTTTTTTTCCTGCAGAATCTGGGAATCTCCTCTTTTCTTGGCTGCCAAGGACAACAACGTTCAGGGTCTCAGGAAATTAATCCAAGATGGTTCTTGTGACATTTATCAAAGAGGTAATTAAACCTATTCTGAAGAGAGAATTTTCTTGGACCATCAAGTGCTTCATTAAAATTATATGCATTAATCTCTCCATTCTTTGATTCTCTGCAGTATATATGTGCAGATGTGTATACAGGTGTGACTCTTCTTTCGCATGATGTTATTGTTACATGCTGACTGGGGAGTTCTGGGGGTTGAAGTCTACAGGTCCTAAAGTTGCTTAGATTGAGAAACACTGCACTAGGGTGCCCAAAACAGCCATCAAGAAACATTCGGGTACAAAATTTTTTGAAGCAGAACATTTCTAGATTACTTGAAACACACCATTCCAGGGTCAGAATGTTCTGTGACTTAACATTTTGCAATCTTTTAGTACACCCCCAAGACTAGTGAACACCCAGGCGCATGCCCTACTTCTGTTTTAGGCCTCTTTGCCAAGCTCTAAATTTTATATTAAAAGATATCCATAAGTGAGGCAAGCCAAACTTTCTCTCCTTCCCTTTCATTTTAGAAAGGCAGACAATAGATAGATGTTTCTTAACTTACATATCTGTCAACCTGCAATGGATCAAAATGGTAGATTATAATCCGTAACCCTCAATAAAGAAGCTTTCGTTCTGTAGCTGATTTATTCTGTTGCTGTTGATAACGATATGTTTTTGTGTATCTTTCATGTGTATTGGACAGATATCTGAAACAACAAGCAAGGCTTGCTTGTTAACTCATTCTTAAGTGACAATTATGTTTTTATTATTCTGTGCAGGAGCGATTGGGGAGACGGCACTCCATGTGGCCACCCTCTACGATTGCACAGAAGCTGCTGACTTTCTTCTGGAAGTGGCTCCAGAACTCATCAATGAGAAAATGACATCAGCACTTTATGAAGGTTATCATTATTAAGGAGCTGAGCTAGGGTTTTTTTTAAAAAAAACATACAAAATATATACATTTATATCAATAGCAAATACTTATAGTTATTGAGATCTTATAGTTATTGAAATCTAAACATGATGCCCAAATGACATATGGTGCAATAGCAGTTAGATTTATATACTGCTTCATAGTGTGGTATATAACAGGTTTTTATGTTGTGGATTGTTAATATTGTAAACCACCTGGAATCAGTTATGTGTCAGTTAGATGTGAGTTTATTAAACACATTTTAAAAATTGTTTAATAAATACATAAATAAATATTGTAATACATGTAACACTTGATTTAACCCTTGCTGTTGCTGCAAATATTCATGATCTCAAATCAGAAAACAGAATGAATGATAATAGGAACAAAATGTTTGAGCAACTATTATGTAATAGTAAGAATGGGAATTTTTATATTTTTTCCTGCCTGACAAGCTAAAGCATCAAAGGTAAAATTTGCTGCTAAATCTTATGTTTTGTAGCAAAGAGTGACTATATTAGGAAGTGGATTTTCTGTGGGAAGATGGTAAAGAAGGGAATGCTTAAAAAAACCCCTGCAATCTCAGATGCAATGAATTTAAAAGAGAGGGAATCCTAATCATAGAATTCTCAGATGTCATGAATGACATATCTAATTTAACTGGAGCTTTGGCTCTCATTTCAATCTGAGTATTTGTTTGAACTCTTGTCAGTTAGGAAAGTTTTGCAGAATATGAAAGATGTTCTTTCTAAATTCCCTGTTGAAAAACAAATGTAAAATGGTGGTTGGTTGCTTAACATTCCATAATTGAAAACAAGCCAATATGGGGTACAAAGAATGTTCTAATTTGGATTTTTTAAAAAATATTAATTGCAGGACAAACAGCATTCCACATTGCAGCAGTTAATCAAAATGTACATTTAGTGAAATGTCTGCTGAAGAAGAGGGCTCACATTTCTACGCCTCGAGCTACAGGACACTTCTTCAGGCGTAACTCCTCACATCGTTCTTATTTTGGTATGATTTCATCTGTTGCTCCAGAGGACAGAGATAGCTTGATTAGCAGAAGAAAGTCAGTGCTCCACAGAGTTTTTTTCTATCCCTCCTGTTACTGCTGGGTCTACCACTTTAGTAAAGAAATCTTAGTAGACTGGTTTTACCTGCAATCAATAAACAACTTCTCAAAGTTATGACAGCCTTGGAAAAAAAGACTGACTCTCGCAGTCACATGGTTGTATTTCAGGCATTTGGCAACCAGGTTTCATTTATGCCGAGTTGTAATATCCTGCAGTCACATGATCACTTTCTGTGACTTTTCTATTATGTAACGCCCATTGGATAAGCTAAATTTGCATTTATCACCACATGATTTTAATGACCATAGTGATTCGCTTTACGACCATCATAAACAAGGTTGTAAAATTGAGCCTGGTCACATGGTGACTTGACCTACAGCCACAATATCTTATAATCAAAATTCCAAGCTCAAATTTGATCATAAGTTGAGGACAGCCCGTAATTAAAGAAGAGTCCTTGAAATAATATCTTAAATCCCATTACCATGAACACTAAGGTTAATCTGGATCCATTATTTTATTTTTTAACAAATAACGGTATATATTGTTTTAGATCATGTATGCAGAGGAATAGTTTTCCTAAAAACATAGCTGCTGTCATAAGAAAAGTAAAGGATGAAAACTATTTAATGGAAACTGATTAATCAAGGGCAACTTATTCATTGATCCTCCAATATAAATGAAATCAGCTAAACAATGAACCCCAATTATGAGTCTGAGAATAGTTTATTTATTTGTTTATTACTGAAGCTTTGTTTGAATTTTGCTTTCCCTCTCAAATTCTTCCATAGGGGAACATATTTTATCTTTTGCTGCCTGTGTGGGCAATGAGGAAATTGTTCGTCTGTTAATTGAAAATGGAGCTGATATCAGGGCACAAGATTCTCTAGGTAAGATGGCCACAGTCAGCTTGTAAAAACATGGATTGTTTTTGGTAGAAACAATAAGGAATTATACCTGGTTTGAATTTGGTAGACTATTGATTAATCAAACATTTACACTTATGTACAATTATATGATACCGTAACATTTAATTCATTTTTAATAGTTACCTTTAAATTCTTAGGAATTTTTTAGTGTTTTATTTTTTCTTTCTGTAATACATCTCAGTCAAATACTAAATAACAAAGTATGTCTCAGTTCTCAGCCTCACCAATAAATTATCCCACTGATTCAAAATGAGTATATAAAGATGAAACTTGTATTTATGAAGAGCTAATAACAAAATTTGAATAATGCTTGTGAAACATTAGTAAGTTGGATTAATTCGGTATTAACCAATTGTGCAATTGTTTAAATGTAGTTCTCACATTGTTTCATCTCCAGGAAACACGGTTCTTCACATTCTAGTTCTTCAGCCGAACAGAACATTTGCGTGCCAGATGTACAATCTCATCCTATCCTATGACAAACAAGAAGGGAACTTGGAACCACTCGACTTGATTCCCAACAATGAAGGTCTTACTCCATTCAAACTGGCTGGAGTTGAGGGTAACACTGTGGTGAGCACATGGCCCAGTTGATCTCTATGGGAATATTTTTTGGGGGGGAAATAATTTTAAGAATATAATTTGTTTACAGATCTTGTTTTGTTCTCAGAAAAGTCCTAAACATTTATATTGGGCTCCCTGACAATTTCCCATTCAAATACTAATTAGACCAAAAGCCAGATTCAGAAGTTAAGTCTTGGATTATTGTGGATTATTGTTTTGTGCTATAGCAGACTCATGTCTTAGATCCTCCTTTTCTTCATATACAAAGCAACAAAATTTAAAGTTCCATTCATGTTCCTCATGTTTTACCTAGGAATGGAAGGAGAATATACAAACCCAAATCTCATATATATAATGTCACAGTTGGTACTTGTTTAATGATATAATAAGCAAATTTTATTCCTTCAGATCATTTTCTAGTGTAATTATAGTTCAAATTTATTTTTAGTATGAACACCTCTTTCTCTTAATTAGAAATGTTTTTTTGGGGGGGGGGTGTCTTTTGGGTGTTTTGTTTCAAGTCGGTCTTGATTCCTGGCAACAATGTGGACTAGGTCCCTTCAGTTTTCTTGGGATAGTTTTTCAGAAGTGATTTTGCTATTGCTTTGTTCTTGGGGGTTAAAGAGAGACAGAATGACTGGCTCAAAGTCATACAATTGGCTTCATACCTAAAGCAATATTTAGTTTTTGTAGATCTAGAAAACAGACTCTTGGTTTCTAGATCAATGCCTTTAACTACTGGATAAAGTTTTGGATGCTAAAAGATTGTAGTCCTTTGAACCATTCTGGCTGTATTTCAGAATCTCTGCACTTTCATCCAATTCCAACATCCAGAGTTGAATTATTTTGAAACTCAATGCCATCTTTAATACATTCTAGTACTGAATCTTATTAGCAATCCAATGTAAACAATCTTGTGCTCTTCTTCTTTTTCAGATGTTCCAGCATCTTATGCAAAAGCGTAAACAAATAATGTGGTCTTTGGGGCCCATTACCACCATTCTCTATGACCTTACAGAAATTGATTCCTGGGGTGAAAACCAATCTTTTCTGGAACTTGTTGTATCAACAAAGAAAAGAGAGGTACTATGGAGCTCAGATACTTTTAATCTTGGTAGAATGATGACTGTTTCTATTTATTGAAAAAGGAATTTGAGTGTTCTGTTAGGATGTTCATATAAATTGCATTGTCTATGAACTTTTTGTCCAGCTGATGAAGAAGCAAAGATTGCTGAGATTCTGGTAATAGAATTCACATCACAGACTTCAGGGATCAGACTAAGAGAACAGTCTTTCAGTGCAAATTGTCCAAATACTAATACAACAGGTGGACAATTTGACTGAATAAGCTGAATCTCCTGTACTCTTGTTACATTTTTTCATTCAAATAAATAGAGTGTAGTCAAAATATTCATAGCATAAATCACCCATTTGAAAATTTGCTCCTTCTCTATTTACAGAATGTTATCTGATTTAAAAATTTAGAAAATCCAACTATATCATTCTCTGATTTATAGAAAATAATTTGTTGCATGGGCTTCTATTTGTTTTCTAATTTTATTTTTCATTCATCTCTGAAAATGATTCCAGAAAGTTCAAAATTTCCTTCAAATGTTAATTGGTTTATTTTGTTTATATACTGTAGCACCTTTCTACCTGGAGCTGAAGGTGATATACACAGTGTTTCCTCTTCTAGTTTTTTTTCTTTCCGAAACAACTCTTTGACATAAGCTGGGCTGAAAAAGTAGGACTGTCACCCAGTTCCCTAGCAAAATGTGGACTTGAACCTGTCTCTCCCAACACTAGGTTTCAAAGTTTGATGGCTAGTATTCAGCATTAACCATATTATTGTTTGTTATGGAGTTAGTGATATGATAAATATTAATCTGGAACTTGTTCCATTATTTAGCTTTATTTGATTTTTTTCCAGTTTATTAACTTCTCATTACAAAGTTGTAATTTAGGTTTTGACCTTGTGTCAAAAAGTCCCTTCTTGTTTCCTTCCACCCCCACCTGAATCATTTTCCAAATTTGCATTGTACTTAGGGATTCAAGAGATGCAATTGCACAGTAAAGAATTTTAGACCAATCTGTTCTGACTGTCTTTTAGTGAGTAACAATTACTAGCAGAAGCACATAGTAAATCAGAAAAAGTGATTAGATATCTGGCTTCTTTCTAAATGTGGAAGCAGATTGCAATAGTATTTAATGGATTTTAAGAAAGCTATTTTCAAAGTCTCTGAAATGTTATTCCAAAAATAGAAAAATCTTCACAAGTCTTTATGGAAATATAGATGGTGATGATATTTATATCCTGCCATTATTTTATAGTTTAGTTTGGTAACTACTTTTGTTTTAAGGTAAGGACTGTAGCTCAGAGATAGATAATTTACTTTGAATTCAAAAGTTCCTGGCATGATGGAGATACCAATGAGAATCACTCCTGCCTCAAATCCGAGTAAGCCATTGTTAGTCAACTTTGTCACCTTGTAATTTTCATTCTACCTCTAGATCAATTATCCTGGAAAGATAAATTGTTTGCCTGCTAAAACCTTGTTAACCTTACTGGATTTTGCATGTGCTATCTGGCTGTCATCATGTTAAATTTAATAACTTGTGTGGTTTATGGGAAATTTTTTTACACAACTTACAGTTATCATTGATTTTATAACATCAAATTCCAACTTTACTTTTGTGAAGATTATATATGACATTTGACAGTTTTTGACTTATTTGAATCATAAACATAATCAGAAAAAAGTGGCTCCATTTAGTTAAAACCATATTCACAGATGGTAGCACTCTGAGTAATGAGACAATGCACTTCAAATTTCCTTCCTTCTTATATACTTTTTTATGCACTGAAGATCATTCCACATCTTAAAGAAATTTTAGTCTTTCCACTCTTCTGTGCAATTTCAGGTTTAGGACTGATCATTGAGTGTCATTATAGGCCCCAGATACTATCCATTGATGAATATAGCTCTACACTGGTTAGATTCATAGATTGCCATAAGCCTTGGTTTATTTCAACTACAGCTTACTGAAAAAAAAAATTTCTTAGCTTATGTGTGAAGTTAACAACATATATTCTTTAACATTTTGAAGGAAGCAGGCAATTTTTTTAATTTTAGTTAAAATAGAATCAGTTCACCCGTTCTTCTTATATGAGGCAAATTATATACATTTTACAAATGTAACTGAGTTCAGTGAATAATATTTGTTTTATTGATCCATAGTTTAGAATGCAGTAAGTTAATCCTAAAGTTCTTTTTATATATAATTTTTAAAGAAATTTTTTGACAGGGTAAAAACAATACACATTTTAAAAGTAAAAAAGAAAAAGAGATAGAAAAGAAGAAAAATAGAATAATAAAGAAGTGGATCCCAATCTTCTTAGCAGCAGTTAAAAGTACATTTACATTTTATCATCTCTCTCTCTCTAAAGATACATCAAAGTTAATTCTAAAATTCTAATTCAGAAAAAAAGGTGAATGATCCAATTAGTTTAATATTAGCATCAAACCAATTCATGTTATATAAGGATTTATATGATTCACATATAATTCTAAGTCACAAGATAGCTTTCGTTATCCATCCACTTAGCATTCTGATTATAATGGTGCATCGTACCTATAAGTTGTGATTTCAAACTATGATTAGAAAATATACCTTCAGATGGGCATTCTGATTCTGTTTATTGGTCAGGAGCAAAACATGGCTTTGCAATTCAGGTTTCACTTCAAACTGTCATCAAATTTCATAGCCACGGTTAGACATGATTCATAAAATAAACAATTCCATATAAACAAACGATCTGCCAATTTTCCTTCCCTGAATGCAGGAGATCTGGGTAATAAAAATAATGGATCATAATAAGTAATAAATGATTGCAATATACAAATGTCAGTCTCTGGACCCTACAATGTTACCTATCTTGAATGTCATATGAATTGAAATACAAATAGATAGACATTGCAAAACAAAAATAACAATAAATTCTGATTGGGAGGCAGGGACAAAGTGAGACTCGGTAAATAAATTATCTCCAATCTTTTAAAATAAATGTGAGAGCTTGGAGGAATTAACCATTTGGCCCCGGGCTGCCGAGATCACAATGTGGTTCATAGAAATCAACTACTGATTTAAAATTTCAGCAACCATAAAAAGGGTTTTATTTTTTCTTCATTTTTAAAAAGCAATTTTAAAGATGTGTGGAAAGAAAGGGATAAACTACATAATTTATGAAATGGAAGTCAAATCACCAAAATACAATTTTCTCACTGTTATTATGAATTTCATGATTTTAAAAGAAATGACTAATCTAGTATTACAAAAAATTTTAAGGAGGCAAACAAAGATGATAGAATAATCTGAAAATCTAGGTTGCTCGATATAATCTTATCAAAGACCAGATTTCTTGTGTGTCTAACTACACTTGGCCAAATAAAGTATTCTACTGTATTCTATTCTATTCTTTAAAAAAACGCATTATTTATTATTGGCTAATCAATGCAACATATAGTCAAGCAGTTGATTTGAAGATATATGGGGGAGATACCTTACAATACATATTAACTTAAAAATAAAACATTGAGAGAAACCAATGAATGAAAAATGTATAACAAACTGGGCTCCAGTAGGGACATCCCTGCTGAAAAAAAGTGGTATCAAATCAAATCATCTATGTTAAAAAAAAGTTTTCAAGGGTAACATCAATTTGCTGGATTGGGTATGTGACAAAGGGCTCTTTAGTTTACAAATATACTGTATAAATTGTTGCTGAGTTCTCATAATAAGATATGCAATTGAAGTGACAGTTCAATCCAATACAACGTTATTGATGGGTACAAACTATAAAATAGCCATTCATTGGAAAAGTTGATGAATGTCACTACACAAGTATTTGAATAAACTGTGGGAGAGTTTACTTTTAAAAAGACTCAAACACAAAATTAGCTAAAAAGACTAAACCATTGGACCCTTTAATTAATTTATTATTCATTTACAGAATGATATAATAAGAGTACGGTCTAGAGCAGTGCTTCTCAACGTGCTGTGCATGCGCGGCGCCACCCCCATGCGCGGTGCCGCCCCCCTGCACGGCGCGGCGCCGCACGCATGCGCGGGGCCGCCCCCATGCGTGGCGCGCATGCACAGCGGCGCCCCCCGAGGGGAAAAATGGAGGATCGCCTTGTTTGGCGACCCCCAAGAAATGGTCGATCGACCCCAAATGGGGTCGCGACCCATAGGTTGAGAACCGCTGGTCTAGAGATTACTTTAAATTCCGAAGATATGCTTTTTCATGTTATGGATCATTTTTAGCATATACTGACATTAGTATATTGTCTAATTGCTGATGTATGCAACTTTGCAAAATATATTATCAAATATAGCTCTTTTTGTTGATATGGAATGAATATACATGTGTAAATGCAAGATGCCACAATCAGAAGGACCAAAAGAGATGCATATGAACCAGTAGTGGGATTCAGCCAGTTTGCACCACTTCAGCAGAACCGGTAACTAATTTTTCATTGCTCAGGCCCAGAATGGACTTCTACACAGAGAACTCCTTGTTCACATATTTGAATCCCACCACTGATATGGACCATAACAATTATGTATACTTAGAGTAACTTTCAGATAGGATTAAAATGTTCATATTAAGTATTGAGAATAACCAAATAAGATAAATCCACCATCAATTAAATTCATGTCAACCCCTCCCCTCAATCCATCCATGGCTAAAGGACAGCAAATCAAGAAAGTCCAAGCACTGTAGACACCTCACAGGCCATAAACCTATTAATTGGTATAAGCTTCATACTGCCATCCATAATTTAATTTAGCTCTTGTATTCACACCTTTGGAAGCCAAACGTTTACAAGGATCTTATTTTGTTTAACGACTTTAATTCATCATGAAAAGAAGTTTTATTAGAACGCTAATTTGTGCATTTGTCCAGCGATTACATCATTCTATTTTAAAAGTTGCCCATTGATTGCCAGTGGCTTCAGGACATAATTCAAAATATCTTTAAAACTTTATGACTTGTTATGAACCTGCCGATCTCTTAAGATCTGCAGTATAGATGCATAGTTTTCTATACAGGAGCACATGAAAAGCTGTTTTCCCCTCAACTGCTTTTCAATTACGGAATACACTTTCTTTTGAAAATTCAAATATCTTTATCCCGTTTTTAATGTTATCTTCTTTTTTTCTTGGAATACTGCCTTGCAGTTCTTTGTGAAAGAAGGTATATAAGTGCCCCCAATATATAAAATTAAGATAATTTAGTAAGAATGTATTTTTAGGGCATCACCAGTGGCAGATTTTTGAAACATGGGTCTTTAAGAGTTAATCCTCAGTTTTTCTTTCCACTTCTTCCTTGCAGGCTCGCCGTATCCTAGACATTACTCCTGTGAAGGAACTAGTCAACCTGAAGTGGAAAACATATGGGCGTCCTTATTTCTGTTTCCTAGCTCTGTTTTATGTCCTCTATATGATTTGCTTCACCATGTGCTGTGTTTATAGACCACTGAAAAATCGCCCAGATAATCAAACAGACGAGCGGGATAACACCATCTTTGTGCAGAAAACACTACAGGTATATTAGTGTATAACTACAGGTTTCCTTGTGAATTTAGGCAAATTGTATAACAGTTGTCTTCAGAATGCAGCATAGAACAATCAATGAAGTTAAATAAAATTTTAAACTTCGCACAAACACTTTTTGAAAATGCTGCAAGGGGCCATGAGGAAAAAGGCTGCCACAATCCTGAGAACAGCTTAAAAGATGAGAAAAAAAAAATTCACTGAAATTGAACTGAAACTGCAAAGCTCTGGCTTTCATTAGCCTTTCTGGGACGAGTCATTCTCACCTGATCCAGGGACAAATAAATTCAAATTTCTTAGATGGAAGATTGGAAAATAAAATATCTTTCTTGGTATTCAACTGTACCTCTTAAGTCTGTAAATGGAAATTAGCATTTTATTTTATAACACTGCTAAAAACAAGGTATCGAAGGAAAGATTCTACTCATGAATGAAGGCGAATATACGTGTCCCAGGATAATATTGCAGGATCCAATCTGGATCGGTCGCTGTGACTAGCTTCCAAGCTTTTGGACCGACCCAGATTGGATCCTGCAAATATTCTATTCTTGTTCTTTTACTGGCATACAATACTTGGTTTCTATGTTCAGGAGAGATTGGGTGGGAGGAATGCATGTTACTTGTGCAAGGCCATCCTTTGGTTCATCTTTCCATTAACAGTTTCACTATCAAGTCAATGCTGTCAAAAGAGAAATAATTACATTAAACTAAACTAAATAAATTAAACATCTTGATGACACCAGTTCCAGGTTTTTCAGATCTTTATCACTTCCTTAATTAGGATACTTTCCTGTTTTTAGGAATCGTATCTGACATATGAGGATCAACTCAGGCTTGTGGGGGAGTTAATTACAGTGATAGGAGCCATGGCAATTTTACTCTTTGAGGTAAGGACAAAGAAAAAAGTTCTAATGAACTGATCTTCTTTAAAATATACCAATACAAGATATCTGCCATTTGAGAGACATTGTATTTAGACAAAATATACTGAAGCAATCATATGTTATCTGAAATCAATATAATTGTCTTGAAAAACATGATGCTACATATGCTATCTGAATTTCTGGCTTTCCTGTTGGGGGAATCCAGAGTTAAATTTTGTTTTGAAAATAGTTAAAGTAAGTAATTACAAATGAACTGATTGTGGATGAATATAGCCAGTAATTGTTTGCAGGATCTGCATAAAATAAAATAATTGATCAATATTATATTTTGAATTCATTTCTTAAAATCACTGTCTTACTAAATTTTACAGGCTTAAGCATTTTATATTTTAAATTGTACCCCTTTTGGAGCATTTTAACATCTTTTCAGCTTTTGCTTGCTTAATCACCAATATTGAAATATTTTTTGAATGTCTTTATTCTGCAAAATTACTGCTCTAACACAAAGTGGTTTAGATCACTGACTTATCAAGATGTTGCTGACTAGTGAAAAGCAAGTGACATTTTTGCTTGCTGATAGTGTATAGCAGTGGTGGTGAACCTATGGTACTCGGAGCCCTCTCTGTGGGCACACGTGCCGTAGCCCCAGCCTTGCCTCCCCCTGTGACCCCCTCTTCAGCAGCACCCCTGAAGGAGAGTCGCCCTCGAGCATGGCCCACACAGAGCAGCGCAGCCAAGGACATGGCAGCCAGGCAGAGTAGACAAGACTTTGCCCTCACACCCCATCATGCAATTGATGCTGCAGGGCGTGGGCAGAGGGTGTGGCCGCCATAGCGCTGCTGGGCTGCCTGGGCGATCTGCGGGCCCTGGAGGCGGTGAGTAGTCCTGTGGGCAGGTGGAGCGGGGGATGGGGGGCAAGGCAGGGGGGCAAAGTGGGGACAGAGCCAGTTTTTGGGCATTCGGTCTCTAAAAGCTTCGCCATCACTGGTATATAGGTTTCTCTTTATAAAACTATATCAGGGATTAACAGCATTGTTCTCATAATGGCTTGTTTCTCTCTATTTTTTCCTTGATTTGAATACAAAATATGTTCGGAATTCTCTGTACTGTTGAGTCAATTTCAGAGGTAGACTCAGCACATTGGTGATTTCAGTCCTCACTGAAGTGGTTGTTGGTTATAAACCTTTGATATCATTTTTTATAGATTCCAGATATTCTAAGAGTTGGAGCCAAAAAGTACTTTGGACAAACCATCCTGGGAGGACCTTTTCACATAATAATGTGAGCCTCTACAGTTCCAAAGCTCACAAATACTCTTTTTTTCTTATATATACTCTGGCATTGTAACTTTCATTTCACCATTTTTCTCTTCCATTTCTATCTGCTTCAAATCTAGATTTCTTTCTTTGCAAATTTGTGTCTCTTAACATCTGTTTAAGTTCTGTCTGGAAGAGTTGTCTGCTGAATCTCCTGAGAAATTTGAAATTCCTCAGATGTTTCAACCTGAGAAATAAATACTGCATGCATTAAAACTGACAGCAAACAATTTTTTGGAAGAAATACCTTGTTCCAGCACAAGGGAATAAAGAGATTCTCCATTCTGTAAATGCGCATGAGCATATATTTACATGTATTGTCTGCTCATGTATGTTTAGGGCTCAATTCTGTCTTAATTAATTTAGGCTGTATTAATTAATTACTCATTCTCACTTAATTATATTTTTCACTTGCAGCATTACATACGCCTGTGTAATCCTGATAATCATGGTAATGCGTCTGACCAGCACAGAAGGAGAAGTGGTCCCCATGTCCTTTGCCCTGGTGTTGGGCTGGTGCAATGTCATGTACTTTGCACGAGGATTTCAGATGCTTGGGCCTTTCACCATCATGATACAAAAGGTAAGGAAAACAAAGCTAAAAACTGAAGTCAAACTGACAAAGAATTCCACAGGTATTCCTCAACTTAAAACCATAACTGAGCCTACAATTATGGTTGTAAGTTGATGCAGTCATAAATCAAGGCATTGCACGACTGAATCCAATTTTGCAATAGTTTGTGTGGTAGTTGTTAAGCAAATGTCACACTGATTAAACCAATCAGTCTTCCCCAGTGAATTTTTTTTTGTCAGAAACTGGAAGTCAACAAACTAGCAAGAAATGTCACAAATTGCAAGCATGTTACTGCGGAATGCTGCAAACGGCTGTAAAGCTGAGCTGGTTGCTAAGCACCCAAAATGCAATCACATGACTGCAAGGATGTGTGTGTGACTGTTGTAATTTCAAAAATGGTTTGTAAGTAGCTTTTGGGTGGGTCCAGTGTAATTTTGAATAATTCTTAAGTGACTGGTTGTGAATTGAGAACTACTTGAATTTCTCTCAGAAATGCATCTTTTCCAGTAATTGGAACTGAGAATTTAAAGGTCAGACAATAGTGGGTTGGGAAAAGTAGAAGTTGGGGAAAAGTTAGACATAATAATATTATTGTTTTATCTTTTCCATAGATGATATTTGGTGACCTTATACGTTTTTGTGGGCTAATGGCTGTTGTCATATTTGGCTTTGCCTCAGGTGAGCTGTAAAGAAATATGTGAACTTCCAATATCATTCCAGTATTCTTTGAATATGCAGTCTGAGAATCTGTTTATAATGTCCTTATTATGGTATTCATCATTTCTCCAGTGGGGGAAAAAAAATTTCTCTATATTCCCAGGGTTTGTTTTTTTTAAAAAATTGTACCATGTTTTTGTAATAGCAGTGGTTTTCATAAGAATCCTAGAATTTTATGGAATTTTAAAGCAAGAAATCAATATTAGCAGATAATGCAATCTAAAACATAAATTATTTGGTATTCGTTGCTGAATTTTTACTGTTATGCAAATGGAGATGCTGGGCATAGGTTTCAGTGAATGTGATCAGTACACTAACTTAACAATAGTGACTAGTGTCTTCTTTGAACAAAATGCATTATAATTTGGAGGGGGGAGGCAATATGCTCCTAAATATTAGTGAAAGAAATGGAGGAATAAACAGCAGGAAAGATTGTTATCAATCTTTTGGTAGCCATTGTTAAAAGGAAGTTCATCCAAAATGTATTATAATTTGGGGGCAATCTGCTCCTAAATATTAGTGGGAGAAATGGAGGAATAAATAGCAGAATAAATTGTTGCCAACTTTGGGAGGCCATTGTTAAAACTGAGAAGAACAGATCCTTTGCTCTAATTTAGCGTAGTTCTTACGTTTGGGAATTCTATAGGAAATGTACTGAGGTTTCTTGTACAACTTTTTAGGAACAGAGTGTTCTGAAGATGCAAAGTTTAAGAGCCATTATTTTAGAAGATGTTTTTCCCTGAGCCTTCTGTTATTCTGGCTTCCCCATATTTTTTTAGAAAATATATGATTGCACATTGTTGCCTACCAAACACACCTGATGATAGATTTTGCTCCTTTTCATCCATATCTGTATTTGTATATCACATGTTTAAAATTGCCTGTTTTTGTGGGACTTCCGCAGCATTGAATATCAGTATCCAGATATTCAAGTTATGGAAGAGAAGAAAAGAATTTACATGCCGAGCTTAGATGTTTCATGAGAATTAAGAGAAGCTATTAACCTTCGGGATAAGTAACTCAGAGAGAACATCAATAGAAAGATAGATAAGAAATTAAGATTCTTGTGGCAGAGTGGTTGAAAAGAATAGAGTAAATTGAGGATGTCATTATCTGGTTGTGTGTGTGTGTGTGTGCGTCTGTGTGTGTGTATACATGTATATGTAGCTGACTGCTCATTTTTGTTTCATGAACAGCTTTCTACATCATCTTTCAGACAGAAAATCCAAGCAATCTGGGAGAATTCTATAATTATCCCATGTCTGTCTTCAGTACGTTTGAGCTCTTCCTTACCATCATAGATGGACCGGCCAACTATGATGTGGATCTGCCCTTTGTGTTCTGTGTGGTGTATGCTGCTTTTGCTATTATTGCTGCTTTGCTCATGCTCAACCTGCTCATTGCCATGATGGGTGACACTCACTGGCGAGTAGCCAATGAACAGGATGAGCTTTGGAGAGCACAGGTGAGATTATAGTCATGTTCTTGCTGCTTTGGATGTGTCTGCACTGGAAATCTAGACCACTTTACAACTGATTTCATTGCCATGGCTTCCAATGAAGTATTTCTGGGGTTTGTGACTCTAAAGGGGACTGGAGTTTCCCAGAATTATCTTTTATAATTCTCCAATATTATATATTTTGAAGAAATCATAATAATTAAGTAAACTAGTCTATGTTAAATAAAATTATCATACTGATATGTCCTTACGCTGTAAGTTTTGTTATGAATGCCACTACTATTAGCTGGGAGCTAATTTAATGTTAACTCTTCCTAAAGTAATTATATTCTCCACTATTGACAATAGAGTCTACCATTATCACACTTAGTTAGAAGCAGCTGCTAAATTAATCTGTAATTCTAATTCATTCCAGTTCTTTTAATGAATTCTTTTCAACATATAGGCTTACAGATAGGAATGAAAAATTTCAGTTTTCAGATCTGCTGTGCATGGCTACACAAGAGGGAAGAAGAGACACTGTACTCATGTTTAAAGAAATGAGTCCAGAGACAATCTAAAGACCTCAGAATTAGATTCTAGAATCAAGGCTGTATCCTCTGTAAAATATTAAGCTCACAACAAACATGGTAGAACTCACTTCTATATAAACATGTTATATCAACATTCAAATCCATTTTCCTTTTGCTTATGTGTAATGTGCACTTTTAATAGTTGAAAAGGTTTTTCAAATTGTTCATAAAAACACTACGTAATATTGAGATTATCTGTTGAATAGTTAAAACTAAAACTAAGGTGCAACCATTTGAAAGATACTTAGAATAAGTAAACAACTGTGATTACTCCCCCATATCCTTTTTCTCATTCCAGCTGATGTAGTAATGCTGTGTTCATTTTGTACTCTACAAACTGCAAATGCCACTTCATGTAGTGGCATGCTCTGTCAGTCAAATTCTTTTCTGTTACAGATTAATTAATTATCCAGAAAATAAGGTCTGATCTATTCCCCCCCCCATTAGTTTTTTTCCTAAATATAGAGAATTATTTTATGTTAGAAAATCATTTGATTGCTTGGTCTGTGCATGAAAGGGGAGAAATTGTTTTGAGCTTAAGAAGATGAAATTTTTTTTATAAAAATGTTCTGTCGGTATGTTTGAGAGGGCTGTGTTCAAAAATCAGTAATCAGTTTGGATGTTCCACCATAGGGAACAAAGGAACTCAAAGCAAGCTCTTCTACTCTGTATTTTTCATCCTTGGAACACATTTTAGATAGCGTAGTAATTCATGCTGAATGCCTATCATCAAGGCTACAGAAAAATTGGCCACTTAATATTAAAAAAAAAACCTCTCATAGCTCATAACAATCACTTGTTAAGCATGATTGTGCAGGCTGTGACCTTGCACAAACAGCCACAGAAATGATTTAAGAAAGGAAGCAAGAGCAATAGATTAATGTCAACACAGCCTATGAACAACATTAACAAAGGGAAAACATATTTCAGTGGGTAATGTACACACACACATACACACAAGAGTATCTACCTCAGTGCTTCTCAATGTTTGTGTGACGGCGACCCCCGTCACACAAACGTGCCGTGCATGTGCGGCGCCGCCCCCATGCGCGGCGGCGGCCCATGTGCGCCGCCCCCACGTGCTACGTGCATGTGCGGCGGCGCCCCCACGTGCGGTGCGCATGCATGGCGCCACCCCCCACGCGCGGCGCGCATGCACGGCGCCGCCCCCCCGAGGGGGGGAAATGGCAGATCGCCTTGTTTGGCGACCCCCGAGAAATGGTCGATCGACCCCAAATGGGGTCGCGACCCATAGGTTGAGAACCGCTGATCTACCTAATGCACATGAGCAATGTATACATTTTGCCTTGGTAACCCATTGTAACTCTCAACAATCAAGGCAACCTAATTTTTCAATTTGGCAACCTGAAAACTCAATAGTACAGTAACACAATGTACATGCTAAGACAACCCAGTGCAATAACATTCTATTACCAACAATCAACCTTAATTGCCCTATAGGATAACATGTACTGTAACTTAATCTGAGAACATTGCCTAACTAATTCTCCCTCACCCCTCCTTTTTCCTCCTTAACCAATTCTAGATAAAGACAACAGGGATACAGCCTTTACTGCAGGGCTCTTCAAACTTGGCCCTTTTATGACTTGTGGACTTGTGCCTGGCTGAGGAATTCTGGGAGTTGAAATCCATAAGTCATAAAAGAGCCAAGTTTGAAGACCCTTGCTTTACTATATTAGCTTACCAAACTTCTTAGTTTGGAGAATTTTTAAAAAGAAACTAACCAATCACAGAACACTCTTTCACTCGAGATGAAACTTCAGTTTTGTTAGTTTGGAACACACAAAAGGATTAGTTTATGTTCAGGATGTTCTTCCCTATGACTGTTGAGCTGAAATCTTCAGTTTGAAATCACATGCTTACAATCTGATTATGTCAGTGAGAATTCTTATACATGAAACTTTATTTTACATAACTTGCTAGTTTGTGGTTTTAACTGAATACCAGTATTTATTCAGTGCATGCAAAATTAAGAACTGTTGATTTATATGAAATATATAAAGATAGAGCTACTTCACTCTTTAAAACAAAGCGAAAACAGAAAACTAATTCAAGCATAACCACATTTGCCACTGATTGTGAAGTGGAAGGAACCCCATTAGCCAAGTGCACCTGGCTCTATCTGTTGAGAAATGTATTGTGAGGCAGAGGGAAGATTGTATTATGGGTATTTTCCCTGAAAACTCAGCTTTCCTTTACGAAAGCTAAATTGTTTATATTCACATGAAGCCTCTACCATAGTTTTATCCCCTATCAAATCAAAAGACTCTCAACACCATTAGCATTTAGTACAATTGAAGGATTGGTAAAATACATTGTCTCTAGTCATCTTAAAAATCCTATATGGGAGAGAGCTTTATAAACTTCTTGTCCATGTCCCCTAACTCCAGCCCTCCCTAAAATATTCCCACAGGATAGGTGGATTTAATTCAGACAAAGCAGTGCCAGATAAGACAGAGCTACATAGACAAGGCTCTGTAGGTCATTATCAACATTTTGAACTGAGCATAGAGGCCACTTTTGGAGAGATGTTATTATGCAAGGATGGACTGCCCACCAAAAATCTTATTGCCACATTCTGGACCAGTTGTTGCCTCAGATTGACCCAGAGGTCAATCACCTAGCCAGGTGATGATTAAGACTCCCGAATAACACTTGAACCATCTTGAGTACTTGTCTATTTCTAACTGTGGCAGAAAATTGCACTGTAAAATAGATAGTTGCTTCTGGTTTTGTGTCTGGTCCCATTTGTATGATTTTTTTTCATTTTGGTTCCATTTACTGAATTCTAATAAATTAAAACCTAATGATGTATTTGAACCATTTTCTATTTTATTTTTGAACACAACAGTTTACCTGGTTTTGTGGCGGGATTGAACTAATCTGTTTGTTTTCATGCAGGTTGTTGCTACTACAGTCATGCTTGAACGGAAACTCCCGCGATGTCTTTGGCCTCGGTCTGGTATTTGTGGCCAAGAATATGGGTTAGGAGACAGATGGTTTCTCAGGTGAACTACTTTTACCTAGTTGTATATTGCCTACAGGAATAGTTTCCAGTATAGTTAATAAAATTAGTTAAAATGTGTCTAGGCACCTAAGTAGAGGACCATAAAAAGCTGTTTATACCAAGCAGATACAGAATACTAGCCTATTTAATTCAGGCTAAATTGATATCCAGCTTTTCAAACGCAGGCTATTTGTGTTCTTATTTGAAAATATCAGTGACTGAATCTCAATCTGGAAATTATATTTTCTAACTAAGGACAGAATCTGAGGCTGGCACTCAAAATTGAAATCAGAGAATAATAATACAAGCCAGGTCCAGTAATTCTATTACTGCTTTCTACTTTGCAGGATTCAAGTTGCCTATTACAAATCCCAGATTTACATGCCCTACAGCCAAGTGCACACCCATTCCCATGCTAGCAAAACTGGGTCCTAGGTTCAAACCAGCATTTTTGTGGCACAAAACCTGAAGAGCTGGATAATAAGAGCTTTATTGATAGCAGCAGAATCTGGTTCCAGAGTGTAATGCAGGGATCTTCAAACTTAGCCCTTTTATGACTTGTGGACTTCAACTCCCACAAGGTGTGCTTGGCTGAGGAATTCTGGGAGTTGAAGTCCACAAGTCATAAAAGAGCCAAGTTTGAAGACCCCTGGTCTAATGCTTGTTGGAGTGTTAGATTGATTAGTTCTGGCCTTGAACCTGTTTTCATAATGAGGGATCTTGGCTAAACCTGACATGTTAGTTTTCTGTTTTTTTTTAGTGGGGGGGGAAAGTGTGATGTTGTCCTTTTAGGTTTTTTTTTTCATTACTTTCTGTTTTTATTTTATAATACAAGCCACCCAGAGGAATTGGATAGTCTCTAAAATAAACAAATAAGTAAATTTATTTGCTCTCCTTTTCATAGGGTGGAAGAGCGTCTGGATGTCAGCAAGCACAAGATGTTACGCTATGCAGAGGCATTTAAAAACCAAGACAAGGAGGATTTTGTTAAGCTTTCTAGGAAACTATACCAACCTGAGTGTTTCCGATTCAAGAAAGAAACATCACCATCGGTCTCACGAAGCACCACTCTAAGTAGCTTCCACCGTGGTTGGCAAATCCTGCGGAACAATACCTTAAGCCACCTTCATGGGGAAGCAAATCATGCTTTGGAAGATGAGATTTATCATGTCTGATATGCCTCTTGAGTGACTGGTCACATTACTGGTGCTTTGTGCGCTTCACAAATTCTTCTTCCAGTAGCTGGTGGGATCTGGGGGCAGTGATGTCAGGATTCGGGATGACTTCAGTCTTTCTAAGTTCCTCTTTTCCTTTGTTCTCTGAAGGACAAAACTCTGTAGAAAATGTAGATTAAAACAAGATAAAAGATAAACTCCACAAATCAGCTAACTTCTAGTATTCCAGCAACTCTTTAAGAGGTTGAGCATCAGTTTATTGCTTTTCCGTTGTTCCACCAAAAGGGTTGGAAAAAAGTTACTGTTTTTTGATACAGGACTCCAGTGCACTTTACGTTAAATAGGTGAGGTGGAATTTTATCCCAGGTATAATTCTTGTGGTCCATACGATAGGATTTCTTTTCTTGGCTGAATTGAATTCTGCTAATGTTTCCCTTGGGGAGAGGAATAGGGAAAAGGTTTACAAACCTAACTGTATATAATATACAGCTGCCTCTGTTTATTCTTGCTGGCTTGGAATCAAGCCCGTTACTTCCCTTGGACCTGTTTGACTGCTATTATACAGCACCAGAATTTTGCTTAGAGCAAATCTAAAGATAAAACCCTAATGAACTAAAACCTAACTTTAAGTCTAACTTAGTAGGTGAACTTCCTAAAAGTACTGTGTTTCCCTAAGAAGGCATCAAGATTTGCTTAAAGTAGAATGCCAAAGTAATACTAAAAGTTTTTGCTCAGCTAAAAAATAACTGCAGCTAAGTTGAGGGAAATGTTTCAGAGGGCTTTTCACAGTCTCTACTTCCAAAGTGGTGGTTCGGAGATGGCCTTTCCTACAGATCCAGCTTGAAAAGAAGATCTTTCCAAATATAAAGTGAAGCAAAGCAGGTGCTTCTTTAATTTATCTCTAGCTTTCTTATCACTTCAAACTTTACTCCAGAAGGAAAAAGCCAATATTTCATCACTTAAAGCTAATTAATGACTTACTGCCTTCCCAGCAGCTGAGTGGAAAGTTACTCCAATTCCTTTCTAGCAGGAGCAAGAGGGAAAGTTGTAGCTGCTCGGATTTGCCTTTCGATTGTCCTCCTATATTGACCTGAACCATGTAGCATTAAAGACTGATGCAGATAGTTTTGGGGCATTGGCAGTCTGATTCCTTTTTGATCTATCATTGCATGAGTTTGGCCGTGGCCTTCAAGGATGAGTTGGCTTGATTCTCATTCCATAACAAAAATGCATTTTCTATGCCCAGATATATCTACTCACTCGGGAGTTTCCAGCTGTATTTTAAGATTTATCCCAGTGATGATCTTGCCCTTGGTTGAGCAAAGAAAGTTATGGGTGCATTCTCAGATATGCCTTCGGGGCAATAAAAGACCAATTAAATGTTGGGTCGGGTGGGTGCCACTTAAATTGATTTCAAATCCAGAAGATGCCACTCTGCCTCTGTTGAACCCCTTTGAACTCTGAACTGACAGACTTGGGGTAAGAGAAGGATTTCTAAAGGAGAAATGGGGAGGAACTTTTTTATCCAAGGATGAAGTTCAGAAGATACCTCTTCAAGATGAAGTTGGAGATTTGTCAAATCACTGTGATGAACTGAACTAGTCTTTATTAGTCATGGTTATATGTATTTCCTTGATAGATTTTTGCACTATATGTCTGAGACTACAATTTGCACATGTATAAAACTGATCTATAATGCTTTACGGAGTTTAAAAAATAATTTCATTTCATGTCTTAATATTCTGATTTCATATTCTGTCAAATAAAGTATTTATTAGTTAAAGAAATTCCTTAGGGGTTAGTAGTTAGTAATTTCTCTAGCTGGCGTAGATCTTAAAAATTTCTCCAAATGATTGGACAAAGACTTGAATTAGATTGGACATTGGTTTGGACAAGAAAAGATTGGACAAGCACTGAAGATGTTACCAAGGCTGCTAATAAAACAACTATAAAACAATAAAATAAAGCAAGCAAACAAGCTCAGAGACCACCAACGACTGCATGACTGGACAAGGACCTGATTTTCACCTATGATGTAATTAATGGGATACCAGGATATTTGGGGAAGTGACACTGGTCTTTTTTCCTGGACTCTGCCAGGAAATTGTGTTTTATGGAGTATCCATTCATTAAAATATAATCTTGCCGCCTAACAGGAATAGGATACATAGTTTCAGCTCAGTCTTCTATCTCTAACATGCAGTCTTTGAGGAATACAGGATTTTATCAGTGGTGATTTTTTTTTTTTTTTACTAAGGCAGCTATCAAATCAAAAGTACATAATCCAGAAAAAAACAGCACATTGAGCTGAGATTTTAATGCAGAATCCTATTGGTGTCCAATGTATTGCAAATTTGGGTCAGCTGTGAGTTAAATTTCTGGCTTCCATTTTTAATATGGAAATATGATTTATTGATGAAGCATGCAGAAAGATATGTATATAAATCACATTCTAAATCTCTTGAAGCTTATCAAGATTTGCCTTAGAGGAACTGAACATTGCTTTAACCAGCCCTAAGGGAGATGAAGGGGTTCCCAACCTTTTCTATACCCCGCCATCCCTAGAACGCTTCTGGTATATTCTCGTACCCCTTGCAAAAGTTCAAAATAATGGCAACGAGTTATGCATATACACTATAATTTTGAAAACCCAAGTTTCCCCCCCCCATGGAATATCGTCTCGCACCCCCTGGTCAGGAACCTCTGATCTAAAGGGATCCCATTGTTAATCCCTTTTGCTCACAACGCTTTAATCATACATCTAGAGTGAATTAAGCTAATTTGTCAATGGTTTTTTGTGAGTTCATTTTGTTTAAGGTTGCACTTTCTTACTCTTGTATCATATTAATGTAGAATTTTTTACACTTTACTAAAAGCATTTAATAACATTTGAGATTCAATAAAAATAAATTTACAATTTCATACTACAAAATGTTGCTGTCTAAATTAGAAGGTTATAACAATCATGTTAAGATTTCACATGTAATGTAGGTTCAAAAATATAATTCCTAATGAGTTAGCAACTATGTTGCCACAGGGCATTTCAAAATCTTCAATAAATTGAACTTTACAACTAAGCTAGGGCGTATTCTGAGTGCCACTAATCCCAGTGGATTTGAGCTCTTTAGAAATAGCTATCTATTTGTATATATGTTACATCATATTTTTTTTAGCAATATGTACATTTTTAATACAAACCTCACATTAAATCTTAGCTCTTCATCCAATGTTTTCTTTATGATGCAATTGTTTGTCTGCTGAGTATATAAAACTTTAATGGTGTGACTTGAAGAACCAGCTTTCTCACAGTCTCACGTGTCATCTGGAGAATTTTAATAGCCAAACATATCTCTTCTGAAGACCGATGAACAGTCAGTCTTGCACAGGGGAAATACCAAAGGACTGGAAAAATGTCGATGTGGTTCCAATCTACAAAAAGGTGGAAAATGGATCATGGAAATTATAAACCAGTCAGCTTGACATCAATACCTGGGAAAATCCTGGAAAGGATAATCAATCGGAGGATTGGTTAGAACCTAGAAACAAACAAGGTGGTTACTAGAAGCCATGAGTTGTTAAAAATGGATCATACCAGACAAGCCTTATTAACTTTTTTTGACGAAATGAGTGGATCAGCAAAATGCTGTGGACATAGTATATTTGGATTTCAGCAAGGTATTTGACAAAATAGACCACAACCTACTTCTTGATAAGATAGAATATTGTGGGATAGAGAATACTACTATCAGGTTGATTCACAATTGGCTGACCTTCTGCACTCAGTGGGTAGTCCTCAATAGAGCTACATCTAATGGAGGGAAGCATGCAGAGGGGTACCTCAAGGATCAGTCTTGGGCCCACATTCTTCAACATCTTCATAAATGATCTATATGAAGTGATAGAAGGGGAACTCATCAAATTTGCAGAAGCTGGGGGTTGGAATTGCTAACACCTTGGAAGATAGACTCAAGATTCAGAAGGATCTTGATAAACATGCACATTGGACCTTATCCAACAAGATGCAGTTCAGTGGTGAGAAAAGTAAGGTCCTGCACTTAAACAGGAAAAACAAATGCATATGTATGGAAATGACAGTACCTAGCTCAACAGTCATAATTGTTAGAGGGATCTAGGTGTCCTAGTGGATCGCCTAGTGAGCCAGCAGTGTGCTACAAGCTCCAAAAAGCCAATGCAGTCCTAGGCTGCATCAACCAAAGGACAGAGGCAAGACAATGAGAAGTGTTACACTGTGGTGGTAAGACCACACTTAGAATACTGCATACAGTTCTGGTTACCATGACTCAAAAAAGATGTTGGGCCACTGGAAAGTACGCAAAGAGCAACAAAGTTGATAAAGGGTTTGGAAGCCAAATCTTATGATGAACAGTTGAGGAACCTATGGATGCCTAGCCTATCAAAGAGACGGATTGGGGGGGACATGGTAAGTGTCTTGAAAGCTGTCACAAAGAAGAGGGGATTGATTTATTCTTGAAGGCACCTGAAGGCAAGACCAGAAGTAATTGGTGGAACCTTGTTAAAGAGAGATCCAACCTAAAGTAAGGAGAGCTTCTGACAGTGAGAACAATCAGTCAATGCCTCCTGGGTTATGGGTGCTCTATCATTGGAGATTTTCAAAAATAGACTGGACAATCATTTGACTGGAATGCATAAGGCTCCCGCCTTGAGCAGGGAGTTGGCCTATAAAGCCTCCAAGTAACCTTCCAGCTCTATGATTCTATCTATAATGTGTAAAAGCTATTAACAGTAGGCTTTGTTTAAGAAAATCAGCATTTACAGTATGTGTAACCTGCATAGAGGACACACATTTTTTTAAAAAAAAATATTTGGTACATTATCATTTCATTCAGTAGTATTCAGGAGTCTTAACTGGAAAGTTTTCAAATCCATCTTAGTGGGGTAATCCTAAAGTATGTGCATAAACAATATCCAGAAAACAACAATATTTGATCAAAAGGATTTTTCAAAAATTAAATTATCTTTGGTGTTTGTTGTCCATGTTCCACAAAATGAAAATATTCAGAATAAATCTACTGAACCTTCTTGAACATAACTACCTATTTCCTGTATTACTATATTTGTTGTCTTGGATCAGGGGTCTTCAAACTCGGCCTTTTTATGACTCATGGACTTCAACTCCCAGAATTCCTCAGCCAGCATGTCTGGCTGAGGAATTCTGGAAGTTGAAGTCCATGAGTCATAAAAGGGCTGAGTTTGCAGACCCCTGTCCTGGATAAATGCATGTTATTCTTAAAATAAACTTTTAAGCAAAAAAGGGATATACTTCTGATAAAAACAGAAATGACAGGCTCTTAGAATGATACAACCTATTTAGATAGTGAGGAGGGAAAAAAGAGTATTTATATAAATTAGTTAATCCAAAGTGAGATAAACTGTTCAATCTAATGTTCTGTATATATAGAGACCATATTTTCTTGAAAAAATAAAGGACCAACTTGAAAAAGAGACAAATAAAGAAGTTCATAGAACTGCAATTTTTTATGTTTATAATTTTGTTTTAATTTAAGAGTAAAACCTTTACAAAAATGCATATTTTAATAAAGATGCCTAAATAAGAAACAATATATACAAATTTATTTTTTAAAAAAGTCAATTCAATGTCCATATTTTTCACATGAATATGAAAAACTGCATTAAGTGGTACCATTTGAACCATAAAAGTTAAATGACCAAAATAAAGGACAAAAGTGAGTTACTGAAAAATAAATAAATCTAAAGGACAGCTTTCTAAAATAAATGGCTGTCCTTTATAACAAAGGATATGTGGTCATTGTATCTATAGCAGTGGTTCCCAACCTTTTCTATACCCCGCACCTCTAGAATATTTCTGATATATTCTCTCACCCCTTACAAAAGTACGAAATAACAGCAACGAATTATGCATATACACTATAATTTTGAAAACCCAAGTTTTTGCACCCCCTGGAATATCATCTCACACCCCTGGTTGGGAACCCCTGATCTATAGGCATCATGCCAGAAAAAAAATGAACTGAGGGAGGAGCATCTTATCCACAATTATTGAAAATTGTGGGAGGTTCTGCTGAAGTTCTCTTCTCTTCACTGTTCCATATTTGTTACTTTGCATGAACATTAAGGAAGGCTTTAACTTTGATAGTTCCTAGAATGGTAGCCAAAAAAAGAGCAATTCTTTAATTTGGCCCAAGAACTCTAATCTCACAGTATTCTAACCATCCTTAATTGCCACATTACATTGTATCTGGAGGCATGGAAGACAGTCCCAAAGATATAGGCTCCAGCAGTCCCTCATTCCTGCCTAACTTCCTTGTAGCCATGCAGCCGTGTTATGATTTGTTCCCCCCCCCCCCCCCAGAGACTGGTGAAAAGATGGGAACGAAAATTCAATGTTGTATTTCTTCTTCCAATATTGGCCTCTTGAATTCGGGAGAAGATCTTTTAGTCCTTTTAGCTCCAGAGAAAGATCTGTTCTTTCTGTAAAGCCATTAAGAGCCATTAATCTATTGCAACAAAGCTTTATGAAACTTTAAAAATTTAAATTTCTTATACCTTATTATTTCTTACATCTTATTATTTGTTATACCTTTCTTGGCCTTGCACAGCATAATAAACTGATAATTCGTCAAGTTGCCAGAAGATTCTCTCATTCAGTTTTACATTACAGTTTCTCAACATTTGTTTGAGGTGAAGAAGAAAATTATGTGAAAGAGGAGAAGGAAGTTTTTCCACTAGATTACCTGGGCTTGCATGTTTATTGCTGCAACAAAAT